GCACGAATGTGGGTATCCTAGTAACAATCCGACCGGTAATGGGCCAAACGTACGGTTTTGCTAATTGGGTGTGTGTGTGTGTGTATTTATATTCCCAGTAGGGTGTGGAAGGAGTGGTGCACGTGTACTTTCTATTCAACAACACTGTTTACGTGTTCAAGAGTGACGTGTACGTGTCCGAGTGCCCTGGATGGCGTGTACATGCTCGAGATGAACTGCTGTGATGTTTGTGCTCGAACGACCGAAATAGGATGTTGTCGCATAAGGTAGATTATCTGAGCCACAAGGGTAAGCCGCTGAGGAAGCGAAGCAGCATCGTAAATGTTCTGGAAAAACTAATTTTTTGCATCCTCTTTGGTGGCAACGATTGAAAAGCAACCCTCGAAACCGCCAGTTCCCGGCAGAAAAGTTGCGGAGGAAGATGAGAGTTATTTAAAAGAGAAAGTGATGTACAAACACGAAAGAAGAAAGGAAGAAAAAAAACTAATAGTTTTATAAACTGGTAAGAAATGTTTCGGTCTATTACGTTGTATATCTGGCTCGGACAGGCACTAAAAACGGGCCAAACTCCGGACGGATATTGTACCCTCGAAACCGCCAGTTCCCGGCAGAAAAGTTGCGGAGGAAGATGAGAGTCATTTAAAAGATAAAGTGATGTACAAACACGGAAAAAAATATTAATAGTTTAACAAATTGGTAAGAAATGTTTCGGCCCATTACACTGCATGTCTGGCTCGGATTGGCACTGAAAACGGGCCAGAGTCCAGACGAATATTGTGTCAAACTCAGAGAAAGCATTGGAACGGGCTAATCAACCAGCCAAAGTGACTGCGCCCGCCTGTTTTAAAAAGCAGATAAAACCGAAACGCGAAATATGGTTAAAGGAGAGGGAGGGGTGTACACGTGCTCGTGATCCAACGAATGATGGCCTGTAGTGGTCAGTGTCGCACATTCCGATTGTTCTGCAGTGTTCGCAATGACCGGACAGGAAAACAGAGGGTTCCATCCGGACAGCCGCCGAAGGAATGCCCCTGTGGGCCATGGGATAAGAGCGATCCCGGCCAGAGCTAGCACAGAAATCCTCTGCAGGCAGCGAGCAGCCCAATGCCTAGCTAACTTACTTTATAGCCAGAACGCATTGGCACTGCCTTACTCCTGGGACTGGGATGACCACAGCGCCAGACACACTTCACCGGCCCCGAACAGTTGTCCGAAGGAGTCGCTCTCTCGAATGAGGAAAAACAGCACATGTGAAGCGATGAAGTAGCGATATGCCTAATACTACACCGTCAAGCTTCAACCCCGCGTATCAGGAACACGGAAGTCTCGGGTGAATTAAATGCAGAAATGCGACAGCATCGTGACTTTCGACCACAGCAGATCGTGAGCGGCGAATAAGGGAGACACAAAGGGGGTTCCAAGCTTATCTGTCTTGCTAGTGAAACGGATATCCCTCAGAGTAGTTCAGATTCCTTGGATCTGGCCGGAGCTGTGTAAATTCGAAGGATTTCGGACCCTTCCCCGTTCTGATTGCAAAATGCTTAACAGACATACACAATAGCACGGCAAGTATTTTTTCCCGTAAATGTAAAAACATTTGTCGTTCAGTAAAAAATTTTCAAAGCTTCTCCTGTAAAAGATTATGGCAAGGATTTAACTCAGTGCCTAAGCCCCAGGATCGCACCGACTGGCACAAAAGAACACTTCGTTGGATGGGCAGCTGCAGTTTCTTTACAATGCAGTGGCCCTCTATTTTCTTTTCTCTCTCTTTCTTCCACTTGTTAGTGACATCATTTTTTCTTTTTTCTTATTGTGAATACCGCATTTTTGAAAATAATGCCGTATTATTTAAAACACAGAAATCACCCCACACATAATTTACGACTTATTTTTCTCTTACCCCTTGTACGCATATCAACACCAGAATCGTTGTACTGACGAGGTACAGTTGCAGTGCTTAACAGGAATCATCTCTGTATGTATACATGTATATATGTATGTATATATGTATATAATTGTAAAAAATTATACCGGTCCAATGCTGAACAATTCGCGAAGATATCGGGAAATAACCAAGTTGGAACGCGCAGGCACGCTGGTGCGACCATGCGTTTTTGCACCAAATTTGAATTAGGTCGCTAACTGCATAAAGGTGTTGCTCCTACTGATCCTCAGGCCAGGCCAAGGTCGGAGCGGCAGGGCTTTGCCCCACAAATGCAATGTCCCACTCGAGTAACGGGCTAGGTAAAAACGTCCATGGTGGTTTCCTACCGCTCCCTACTTGCCAGTTGTCAAATAATAAAATAGTCTGCGCGAAAACAATGATAATATAATTTGCTCATCGCAGAGGATTGTGGTGTCGTGATGATGGCGGCCAGCTGTATCACTGAATAACTCTAAATCCCTATTGTTGTTACAGACGGACAGCTGCCAGTGGCCGCCAGGGCACGCTGTTTCGCCTAGATATTACGGCGGAGCAGCAGGGACAAGGAGAAAACGAAGGCAAAAGGGCTGAAAGAGACAAGTGGCTGAGAAAAGGAAAAGGTAAAATGTTTCAATCCATTAAGTTTTTTCCGGTCCATTTTGATGCTCTTATAGTGCCGTAGGATGATCACCAGTGTTGCTGAGTAGCGGAAGCAGAACGTGTGAAAGGAGAATTTTCGGATTTATCTGCTTCATTTAATCTTTATCAGTAATGGAACATAAACCAATGATTTCGATGTGTCGATGCATCATCACCTATGTCAACATAAAAGTTTGATTGATATACGTCAGCAAGTTTTTCAGCCCATCGTGATATTTTATGTGCGAAGAAATATTTGAATAAGCCCATTTTATCAAAACTGTTTCAGTGAGGCTGGGAAAACTCGCTGGGATCAAAAATAAGTCAAACTCATCGGTTGTGCTCACTTATAGTCCTTGTTGAGCAGCGACAGCACTACCTGCAAAAACTGAACCCTCGAAGGAATGATCCATACCTCGCACGCAAAAGAATGAAATAGTGAGATATATCTTAAAGGTATATTTTAGAAAAGAAGGTATATCTTAAAGGTATATTTCAGGTATATTTTAGGGAAAAAATAGCATCAAACAGTAATTAAATAGCTAAACACGAACGTTTTAGTCTTTGAAGTCATGTACATTCCTACTGAGTACCACAACTGGACCGCCTCAATACGACGGTTGCAGTCTTGGACATCAAAATGTGTTTGAGGCAGTTTGAAATTGTGCATGCGTCTGGGCAAAGTCCAAGTTGAAAAAAAAGTCGCCACAACAGACTTGTTCAGCCCGATGAATAAACGGGTCGACGAAGCATGCGTGACGATTGAAACGATAAAGTGCATAATACACCGAGTGAATCACAGCGCTCGAAAATGTGAATGACTTAAAAACGTTCCTTTCGTTATTATGCATCAGTATCGGGGACAGCTGCCACCTGTCTTTCCTTCACTCGGCATGCCGAAGCAGTTAGCCAGCAACTGAGTTGTGCCGAAAAACTTCCACGAT